TGTCTTGCGAGGGTTGTAAAGTACTTAAAAAAACGTACGATCTGCCCATCTTGGACAGGCAGATCGTACTTGCGATCATCGCAAGCCCGCCCCCTTGATGCAGTTTCCCCCCTGAAATTCCACTCGCCCACACGCAATTTTCACTCGCTAATTGCGAGGGGGCTAGTGGAAATTTTGAGCCCTGCCTTATTATATACCTTATTATATACCTTATCTATACCTACTACTGCATCTTGGTGACTGACAACTATAGAGCAGGAAAGAATCTCCAATTGATTCATTGGAGCTCAGTTTGTTCCTGTTTCAGACCTGTTCTACATAACTGCTCAGGGAGAGAAGTGGCAACACACAGGTCTAAGTTTTTGGAACTCTTTATAGTGGAAAAATATAATTTTTGTTCTGACTTTTTTATTTCAGGCTGAAAAGTTTGTCGTGCAAGTAACCAGGAATTTTGGGAACACTATCACCTAAGCCTTGTGAATATTCAGGCTGCCTCTTCCCCCACTAGACATTTTCATCCAAGCCAGAGAGGCTGCACAGCACAGATATATTTCTTCAAAGGCTGTAGACCAGTGGTAAGAAAACTTGTCACTCCAACTGTCGTGGAACTAGAAGTCCCATGAGGCATTGAAAGATCTTAACAGCCACAAGCATGATTTCCACAGGCAGAGATATAATGGGGTTTGTAGTTTCACTACAGCTAGAGTGCCAAGGCTGCCTACCCTTGCTGTAGACCTACCCTGGAACCTATGCTGGTTGAAAAGCAGGTTACATTTGCATTATAAAAACTCATATAAAGTTAAACTGACTTGACTGCACAGTGGTGTAGTGGTTAGCACTTTTGCCTTGCGACACTCAGTGGCCCCAGTTGAAATCCTGTCCAGGTAACTATCTGCAAGGAGTTTGCATGTTCTACCTGTGCTTGCGTGGGTTTACTCTGGGTACTCTGGTTTCCTCCCACACTCCAAAGACATGCTGGTAAGGTTAGTTGGCTCCTGTTTAAATCAGCCCTGTATGTATGAGAGGTAGGGACCTTAGATTGTAAGTTCCTTGAGGGCAGGGACTGATGTGAATGTGTAGTATGTAAAGTGCTGCATAAATAGTCAGCGCTATATAAATACCTGTAGTAAATGTAATTGGAATACATGGTGAACTGAATGAAATACCAGATTTCAAAATACTGCTGGGAAATCTCATCATTAAGGTGCCCATACTCTTTACAACCCTCGCAAGACTATTGTCTTGCGAGGGTTGTAAAGTACTTAAAAAAACGTACGATCTGCCCATCTTGGACAGGCAGATCGTACTTGCGATCATCGCAAGCCCGCCCCCTTGAGGGGCGGGCTTGGGATGACTGCAATGAGGGGCGGGCTTGCAAGGACGGCAAACGGGCAGTGTGCGCACACCGGCCCGTTCGTCAGTTGTCGAACAAGCAGGCCACTAACTCACCGAGAATCGTACGATGCCCGGCGGGTTTTCCAGCCTGCTTGTTCGATGGAAGACGTGCGACCGTACAGTAGAAACGGTTGCACGCCTTCCATACACTGTACGATTCTCGTACGATCGCAGGATTTCCCGCGGATTTTATGGGCACCTTTAGACTTTCCTGAAACACATTCTGTGATTCACCCACCAGATAAAAGTTTTGGGTTGAACCACCCCATAAAAAGAACACAGTTTTACTATCTAAACAGCAAAAACCATTTAATTGACTTACATTTAACTTACATTCCTAAAGAGAGGTCACTGTGTTCTTCTGTTTTTTGCAAACATTTTTATAATTCTTTTACTTTCCATAAGGCTACTGCTAAAGTTTACTAAGCAGAAAAGGGAAATGCTTACAATCACATTATCATATATCCTAACAAACCACTCTGTCCTTGTATTACAGGGGTGGGCAACTCCGACCTTCCAGCTGTTGTGGAACCTCAAGTCCCATTAGGCATTGCCAGATTAACAGTTACAGGCATGACTCTCAGAGGCAGAGATATGTTGGGATTTGAAGTTAAATCACAGTTGGGGGGCCGGAGTTGCCCACCCGTTGTAATACAAGATTCTATCACTATTAGTTCTGACATGTTGATTTGTATGCTAAGGGTCGATTCAACCAGTAAGCCACTGATGTGCAGTGAGAGAAACAATGCTGATACCAATGGTAGCGCATTGCACTGCTTACTTTTTCCTTTTAAAACAACTTATCTTTTAAAAGATAAGTTGTGCATGCAGTACTGTTCCTCAGCGCACTCTACTGCAACCTCACACAAACAAGTCATTTGCTTTACCTGTGCGTTATTATTATTGGTATTTTATATAGCGCCAACCATTTATGCAGCGCATAGTTGCCCAGTGTCCATTTATCCTGTAGCACTCCTTACCGGAAATCCCAAAATGTTAATGGGTTGTAATTTCTGAGCACCCATGCCATTTCTGAGCCTGATGAAGGGGATCCTATGCGGCCCCGAAAGTGCTTGATATTTAAGTGACATCAATAAAATGGATTTGCACTGACTTAGATTGTGTTGTGCTGGTGTGCTGATGACATCTACATTTTACATAGTTGCCCATTCACATCAGCATAGGGGCTGCGCTGGAAAAGGCGGGCAGGACAGCCCCAGTGCATCTGGTGTGAATCAAAGTTGAACTCTAAACTCCAGGTAAAAAAACTGTCTGTAGCTTTTTGCCTGGAGCTCAGTAAATATATATATACTGCTAATAAAAAAAAACGCATACTAAAGGTAAAGTTACTTGCTTTGCTGTACGTGGATTATGGAAAACCCAGAAAAATATGCATACCAAAAAGATTCCTAATTTTACCTGAGGTTTATTTAATTCAGATCTAGCAGGCTTCGCATGGTGCTTAGGGGTGAGTCTAATATGATTCTGTGCTGCGCATCCTACGTCTCATGCTGCTGACAGATGGTGTTGTTTGAACCGTGGAACAAACAGTCCTACTTTTAGATAAAGGGAAGTTATAGAGGTCCTGTTTACCAAAATGCCTCAAAGATGCAGCAAACATAATTCTTCAGAAATGCAATGGACTGCCCTCTAACACAACACACTGATGTGAAGAGTTTTATAGATTTTACTGGTCACGGGGGTAACAGCAACAGAGGCACACTGTTCGGTCCCCCAGTGGCAAAATGGATGTAGGCCACATGCCCTTAGCGCATGCCACCTGCAGTTGGCAATCTCTGAATGCTCTGCCTTTGCTGCTCCCTGCTTCTCACCCCTCCATCCAAAGCTGGGATACTCCGCTCCTCACCCCTCCATCCAAGTCTGTGGTCCCTGCTTCTCATAATGCGATCTAAGAATGTCAGCCCTCCGCTCTTCACCACTCCATCACCACTCCATCTAATGCTGCGGTACCCCGCTCCACACCCAACATCCAATGCTGCTGTCCCCGCTCCACAACCCCTTTATCCGACGCTGCTGCCCACGGTTACTCACCCCCATCCCAAATTACTATTTCCTGTTCCACAAGCCCCTGACCACTACTGCAGTCCTCTACTGCTGCATCCCATGCTACTGTCCACCACACCTCACCCCTACATGCCACACTGCTTTTCCCTCTGGTCTCTATGTCTACATGCCACCCACGACACAGCCCAGGTCACAGCACCTCCCCTTGTCAGACCTCTGCAAAGAGGTCACTGCTTCCACACAGAGAACAAGGGTCCTTCTCTGCAGCATGCTGGAAGGGGACAAGCTTTTTCTACTCATGCTGTGGCTGCTTTATAAAAAAAAAAAACTGTAAGACTTTGCACTTTTGTTTTGGTGCCCTTGGAATATATGTAGCTGATTTAACCCCTTTGTGACTGACGACGTACAGTGTACGTCGCCAGCATTGGGGCTGTTTAAACTTGTAAAGCCGACTGTCTGCTTTACAACAGAAGCGATTCTGGCGACTTACCTGTCGCCAGATCGCTTCTGTGTCCCGGACGCCGCGCTTCCCAGGCTTGGTTGCCCCTCCTACGGGCCCGGGACCGTGTAAAGGTGACACTGGGGGTCTTTTGGACCCCCAGCATCACCTTAAAGAGTACCTGTCACCACCATCTGCTATCACATGGGGGGGCTTGTAAGCCCCCCTATGTGATAGCAGTCAAAGTAAAGTTAAAAAAAAAACAATTTTAAATTAAAATTAAATACAATAAATCTGATAATAATAATAAAAAAATGTAAAAGTCCCCCGCTCCCGTGAGCACGCGCGTCGCCACGTAAACACGCGTCGGGTGCGCCAACGTATGAAAACGTCAAACGCGCTACACATGTTGGGTATCACCGCGCACGACGGAGTGAGAGCAATAATTCTAGGGCCAGTATTTTGGGGTATCTCTAAATTGATGACCTGTGGGGGCATTTAAAGCGTCTTCTATGGACTTTTTGGGGTACTGCAGTTTTTCGCCGTTTCACGGACGCACGCAATTTGTAACCTGGGCATGTTGGGTATTGTTTTACTCGTTGTAACCTCATCTTTTATATTTCATTTAAAAAATGGGTATTTTGTTGTGTTTTGGGGCATTTAATTAAATTTTTCACTAAATGTTTGGGTTTAATGAGGTGTTGCGCTAATATTGCGCAACGTAAAAATTCTCAACTACCCCCATTTTATTCTATAGGGTCTTGGCATTCAGAAAATATATAATGTTTGGGGGTTTTAAGTCATTTTCAGGCCTAAAATGTGGAATATAACATGGGTGCAAAAAATTTAAAAAAGGCCTCAGTCATGAAGGGGTTAAACTGAACGTTTATTTGGGCTTTAAGACATTCTGTCTTTCATGGAAGCCTTGGACAATGCTGTACAGAGGCAGGGAGAAGTCACTTCTGACATTTCCAATACAACATACAACAATAAAGCATCTTTTTTTTCTGGAGAACAAAATGTCTTCCACCATAATGTATACATGTATTTCTGTGTCACAAATGAAAATATTGTTGCAATTCAGCAGAAAAAAAAACTATTTTAAAAGAATCTAAAGCTTTTATTTACAAATACTGTATACCTGCCAAGGAAGTGCAGAGCCATGCTGAAATTTTGCTCAGTGTTGGTTTCTGAAGGCCCAGAAATTGTGATATTACGGATAATATCTGAAAAAGGAATACAAAGCATCTCCGTAAGCAGTGTTAATGGAGAAAACATCACATATCTAAGGCTGGTTGTGCTACAGGAACAATCCTTGAATAAGCTGCTAGGATAAGCTATAGTATAATACTGTATCCAAACCAGGAACTCCATGTCAGGAATACACTACAGGGAATACTAAATAGGTTTTTATGATAACATGATTTATGATTTTAAATAGTCAAGACAAGCCTGTGTATAAATAGTAGTCTACCTCCCCCACCAGAGGGCCTTTTATTCTACATTGGTAGAAGGATCTGTCCATTGGGAAGCCTTAGTGGAGCATTAAAAGGAAGTGGCTCTGTATATATTTTGTTTTCATTTACTGTGATCAGGACTAAAAAAATAACATAGTTTTAATTTTTTGGCATATGTTAACATTTTGCATACTGAAGCAGAATTAAAACCTTTACAGGAAAAATTACTGGCAAGCACGCTTTTCATTGCAGAAGATATATACTATGAAGGGGATTTATCAAAACTGGAGCAGACAAAATCTGGAGCAGCTGTGCATGGCAACCGATCAGCTTCTCTGTTTCATTTTCAAATCTTAACTGAACAAACTTAAAAGAGAAGCTGATTGGTTGCCATGGGCAACTGCTTTAGATTTTGTCTGCTCCAGTTTTAATAAATTCTCCTTTATGTCTCTTCTGCATTATGGAGCTCATGTTCCTGCCTGCCAGAAATCTTCCTAATATTTTACACTAAGATGCACATGTTCAGCTCCTTTTGGCATGCTTTTGGCATGCCTTGGTGTCAGGATGAATTAACTTCTGTGTTACGCCATCCCAGCCTGGCCAAACAATATAACCAATGGGGTGAAGATGTCAGTGGGAACGATGAAGCAACATGGAAGATCACTGCCATAGCTTCACTGAAGGTAGTGGTGCTTTGGCAGGTAACTATGCATACTTGCATATTATGGCAAAAAGGGCTGTTGTTTACAGAGCCCAATATCTCAAGCAGAAATGTAAACACACCAATAATCTAGTTAGAACATTGACTCATCCTCTTCCCTTCCTCTCCCATTAGACAGCTCCATGCAAAGTTTCAATAAGAAAGGAAACTGTCTATTTGGAAAACCCATTGTATTACAGGAAATCATTAATCCACAAAAGATCATATACACTTTAAAACGTTATTGTGGTTTTAAAAGTTGCTTTTAACCTTTTTAAATCTGCAACTTTCATGAAAAGAAGCTGAAAAAAATGCACATTATTGTCTTAGTTTTCCTGAACCATGGGATACAATTCATTATACCAACATTTAACTTAGGGGGGTGTCCACAACACTTATACCAATCTCTGTACCATTCATACATCCTTATGAAAATAAAATAGTAGTACTTCTTACTCTCATTGTAACCATTTGTAAAAGCCTATCAATCAATGTTCTTTGTACAAAAGTACATGTCTTGAACTAAAAATAATGACCGAGAAGAATGGCTGCCATGAAGGTCTCTGTTTAGGTACTTCCTATTATGGGGTGAAACTGTCTATCAGTTTTGCTCTAGCACTGTCACTCTGTTACATGCACACCTGATGGATGCTAGAAGCTGATTTCTGGGTGAGTCCATGTAAACAAGAAGTGGCTGAAAGAGGCTGGAAGTGATCAGTAGCAGTGAGATGCACAAAAAGGATGAAAAATGTGAAAAGAGTATTTTATTGGAAAAAAAACACAGCACTTGTTTATGATGCACAGTGCTTTAGCAAACTAAAGTGCTGTCCACTTAGGGTTTACATCTACTTTACAGTCACTCAGAGATACATGAGGTCTGTTATTCCCTTTTAAAGATGCCAACTGGATTAATAAAGGTTGTACAGACCTAGAATGCATATTTGTAAAGTCAGACACTTATTTGCATACGCGCTTTAGTTAAGGGACACTAATTATTAAAGCAGGAGGGTAAACATGACAGCTAGGAAAACTAGCTTTTAGAGAATGAAGTAACAGCGGCAGCCTCCATATCGCTCCAAGGAAAAGTCAGAAGTAATTAGTACATCCAAAACTCAAATGCCTATGCAGCCATTTACAAAAATGAGCACCTTGTAATATCAGTACGTCCTTGAAATGCCCTGTTTTTTTCTGGAAGTGCCTTTCATATTGGGAGTTATGGAGATGAGCAGTGACTTGGAGGGATGAGTTGTAGTTCTTTGGTTTAGAGTAGCTGTAATAAACAAAGGGCTCTGTTGTCTTCACTGTGGTGCTGTGGAAAAATACAGACATTAATCAGTATTCAAAAGAAAGTAGTATTTCCCTAATTGAGTAGATAGACTTGTCAGCAGAGACAGTTGGTAAACATAAGCAGCCAGTAGCACACCATTACTGACCATATATAGAGCAGGTAATGGCCAAGTAAAATGGTTTCAGTGCTAATTGCTCTGAACTGAGCCATATCTATATATGAAAAACAGATCCCTTGCCAGATTGTTTTCTACTGGATATAATTCAGGTGGGACAACCGCATCTGTCCATGTCATCATAACCTTTATTCCCCTAACATGATCTAGAGGTTTTGCCAAATGATAGGAAATCCAAGATTTCACAATACATACAGTATGTATAACCAAATGTGATAAGAAAACAGATTATTTTTCTAAGTCAAGTTGGCAGGCCTGAAGTTTACATGTAAGCCCACCTCAAAGGGCCTACTGTAGTTTTTACACAATTAAGACTAACATCGTTGCTAAATACAGGTTCTTCAAGCCTGTTATTGCCTTTATTGACTACAAAACCTGTCCTCTCCACCCCTCTGATCATGGTTTCCCTTTGCTTCCAGGGTCCTGACTTCCCTTAACTTTGGGGATATGCTCCATCCACTTTCCTAGCTTTTGTCAAATGGAAATATCCATACTGTATAGGCCACTATAATAATGTCCTTGCAGGTTGTCGGGTGAAAAGGCCTTAGCCCTGAAGTCAGGGAAGTCATGACCTTTGTAACAAAGGTAACCCATAAAAGTTGAGAGTACAGATTAATGTTTTGAGTGTAGTAAGGATAACAGCAGGGAGCTTGCGGAACTTGCCCTTAGGAAAAATGTTATATTTTAAATATTCAAAATAGTTAAGAGGTTCATGTTAAGCAAATAGACATTAATAAATTTTACATTTTAAGTATACCTATCTCCAAAGTTCCATGTGTAGCTGAACTCAGCTGACTTGAAGAAGTAGCTTGGGTCTTGAATAAAGAACAGTAATTTCACCGTGCTGTTAGTGGCCAGGAAGGTGCCATTTCTTAAGGATGTGCCTTTGGCTTGTGGCTGTATTGCTGTGAAATGTCCTACAATGTCTTCTGTTGGTGTAAAAATATAGTTAATTAAACTTTTATTTGGATACCTTAGTGATGATAGTTTCCAAAACAATCAAAGAAGACCTATTACATTACAATATGGTAATATAACAAGAAACCTGATGAATTTCTGAAAAATTATATTAGCTTTGTAGTGTGTGTGAGGTAGCGCAATTACCTGTTGGTGGTAGGTAGGTTTGTGGTGGTTTAACTCATAGATGGTCCTTGAAGTGGGTCAATTCAAGGGTGTAAAGACTGTGGAGGTAGGCGAGGAGTTCCATGCGTGCACAGAAAGTCTTGGAAGTTCCAGTCGGTTGGAGAAGTATGATCACTTTATTAGTGTATGCTATAAAACACAGCCAACACATTTTAATAGGTTGTGGCTTTCCCTATGGGTGTTTTAAAATTGTTGGTCATAGTGTTTGTGGTAGTATTAGTACCAAAACTCTGAAGAGGGAAGAGCCCCAATCCCCTAGCCTTAGACTTTTCAGAAAATGCATATTTCACGGCTTTCAATGGCCCACGATGTACAACACATGCAAACCAGGAGCAAAATTAACATGTTTATGAAAGCACAACAGTGAACATAGACCCTAACAGATGCCCGAAAGCCCCTGCTCAACAGAAACACCACAGGGTGTATCCATTTCTCTTCAGCTCCTGAGCAGTGATTGCATCAAAGGATTCAACAAAAGGCTTCTTTGTATAAAAATGCTAATGGAAGAATCCCTTTAGTAAAGTCAATCAGCAAGCACTTTATTATGAATAAAAAGGTAATTTTTATCTTGTGTTTATATTCCTCACCATTACTTGCCTTGCTTGCTAACCCACAGTCTGCTCATCATGGTCGTAGGGTTTCAAGATAAACTTTGGCTCTAATGAGCAGAGCTAGGCATGGCAAGCTAGGAGTTTGTTAGTCAGCAGTACCTATCACTGAACCACATTGTAGTCCAAGCAGGCACAGCGGAAGCAAGGGTGATAACATTGCCCTGAATTGGATAGCAGAGATACAGCATTGTTATCCGTATGAAAGGACATGGATGAGGAACAGTTTTACTGGAAAGATCAACCAGTAACTATAGCTGGCACATAGTTCATTCACACCATTCATACCAATGGGTTTTCTTCTCACTAAGGCTATGCCCTGCAAACTGCATATCTTGCATACCACAGTTCAGGGTTTGTTGAGCTGTACCTTTCCTTAACATTCATTTCATTCACATTGTCTAAATTTCCTTTTTAAATAAATAAACTGTTGCTGCAACTGCTTAATTTAGCTTCTGTTTGTCTTATAGTCTTTCCCAACCATTATTACTATCACCTTTGATGGAAAGTTTGGGATTAATATAGAAAAAATATAAAGGACTGTTCAATAAAAAAGGGAATTACTATGTTGAATTCTATAATTACGAGTATCATCCACATACAGTTACGAAGGTCAATCAAAAAGTAATGCCTCCATGTCTGTAACTTGAGTTCTTTTAGAGTGACTGTGAATATTCATGTTCCATATTATAGAGGTGTCCTTACCCCACTAATATATGCTTTTCTTTTTCAGATTGAGTGATTAAAACCATGGATTTGAATGAACAAGCTGTAATTGAATTTCTGGCGAAAGAGGGTTGCGCGCCTAAGCAAATCCATAATCGGAATCAGAATGTTTATGGGAATGCTGTAGTGGACATTAGCAATGTGCGGTGTTGGGTAAAGAAATTTGAAGAAGGAGAAACCAAAATTCCACTACAGTGTCTCCATTTACATTCTTTGGCCGATTATGGATTTCCTTAGATGTGCAACCCTCTTTAGCTAGAAATACAAATACAGCTTGTTGTTTTAGTCACAGATCCATGGATCTAATCAATCCATCTGGAAAAGAAAAGCATACATTAGTGGGGGAGGACACCCCAATAACATTATACATGAACATTCACAGTCATTCTAATAGATCTCAAGTTACAGACGTGTAGGCATTACTTTTTGACTGAACCTTGTATAGGAATTAGGGATGTCCCGATACCACTTTTTCAAGACCAAGTACAAGTACAAGTACTGTCCCTCATGTACTTGCCGATACCAATCGAAAACAATACAGACTAATGATTTTACGGCAGTTTCTCACCAGGGCTGCGTGCATTGGAGGTGACCGGTTCTCTTTAAGGTGACATTAGGGGTCTTTTAGACCTCTAGTGTCACCTTTCCACTTCACTGGATTCAATTAATGTAAATACAGCAGGCAGCGGCTGGGAGCAAAGGCCAGTCTGCTATTGGATATTTTAAATTGCAATAGCCAATAGCAGGCTGGCTATTGTACCCGCCCACTGCCTGCTGTCAATCAGCAAAGGAGGGAACTGAAGACAAAGTTCTCTATCAGGTCCTTTCTGCTGATTGACAGCAGGCAATGGGTGGGTACAATAGTCAACCTGCTATTGGCTATTGCAATTTAAAATATCCAATAGCAGGCTGGCTATTGTTACAAGTGTCCATTCCTTTTCCACTTGATGAAACTGTTTGCTTTTGGTGGTATATCTCAGTGTCAGTTGTCTGTGCTCCTTATGTGTTTAATAATGCCCTCACCAGAGGTACACAGAAGTTTTCCCTCTCAATGAATGAAGCCAAGGTCCATTATGTGTGAAGGCAAGATTTACAGCTTCTCTCCTCTCCTCCCCCGTGAGCACACTGAACGGACATTCTCTTTCAATGAGAGTGAAAACGTAGACCGCTGCAGCCAGCACACCAGCAGGGAGAAGAGACACTTCACAGAACACTTACCGCCCGCCACGCTGTCACACTCCGTTCCGTTCCGTCCAGAGAGGTCAGTGCGGAGAGGGAGCCTCCGTTTGGTGGATAGGTTTTCCGGGGGAGGGGCTATGTGGGTCAATGGCCGAAGCTCTTGAAAAAGATGTAAAGGGCCGGTATCTGATCTATGCATCGGGGCATTTTCAGGAGTACAAGTACTCCTGAAAATGCCCTGTATCGGACCCGATACCGGTACTAGTATCAATATCGGGCCATCCCTAATAGGAATGCAATATTTTTCTGTAGAACACCTCGCAGCATAACAGTGTACTAGAAATTAGTATCTGTTATGACACATTTGAAAGCATGAACTTTAATGTGTAAAAAATGGATATAACCCTTTAGTAGCCAAAGGTGTGAGCACATCAACCTGTAAACAAACTTCCAGCTTGCTATAGCGGCTGGGAGTTTGTTTACACTCCCTCAGCCATCCCATATGCATGAGGATCTGAGCTGGGGTGGTGGCTTGATGACAACTAAAGCATCCCTTCAGCCGGGACAGTATATGGAAATTTTAAATCACTTTGGTAAGTCAATGATGCTTACTTGTCACTTGAAGTTCTGTTGTGTTCCTGGCAATTGGCTCACACGAGGGGCAACGCCTCTCAGTTACCCAGACTGAAACCGGGAAAATTCCTGGGGTATTACACTGCAGTGTTATGGCAGAGCTGGTGTCGTTCTCTATGTGGTGACTGAGCAATAGTGGAGAGTAGATCCAATGGAAATGACAAAGTCTGGGGTCCACAATAAGAATCATGCCATCATTCGATATCCCTAGACTGACGTTGACAATAGCCAGCGCACCTGAGGTTACAGGGCCATCTGATGTCATCCTCAGGAAGTAGGACTTATCTAAAAAAAAAAAAAATTAGGAAGTGAAACAGGACGTTAGAGGGAAAGCGAGTTTGTACCATCACATGGTTGGGTAACTGATGTGTATGTTGTCATGCATTTAACATTAAACACACAGTCATAGACAGTGAGATCTCTCAACTATAGCGGTGGAACAAGATGTATCTATTCACTAAAACCAAATATCAACCATAACTCCAACTGCTATTATGTGGGTATGTTATTACCCACATTTATTCAAACAGATGAGATACATTGTTACCTTTCATCATACAAAGAAAGCACTCCAAAACATTTCATGGCCACGTCATCTGTTTGATCTGTTGTTTGAATAAATGGGGTTAACCCAGTGTTTTTCAGCCTTTTCTCACTCGCGGCACCTGTAAAATGTACGGTATGCAAAGACAAGGCACTCCAGTCTAAAATGTAAAGGGGGTCCCCATCAAAGACACACAATAAAGTGGGGTTCCATCCTCTGCATCGAAGTCTTCCCTTTAAATCTGGAGCCCTCCTTTACATCAGAGTCCCCACTTACATCAGATTGCTCCCTTTAACAACAGAGTGCCCCTTCACATTAGAAGCTCCCTCCTTTTACATCAGAGTACCTCTCCTTTTACGTAAGGAGCCCCCCTTTATATGACAAGCTCCCCTTCACAGCAAGAGTCCCCCTTCCACATGGGAGCCCCCCCCCCCTTTTATATCAGAGCCCCCTTACCCTTTCATATTGAAATTCCTTTTACATCAGACTTCCTCTTCACATCAGAGTCCTAACGTAAAAAAAAATGTTGAGGCACCGCTGAGGAAGCCAGACGGCACCCCAGTGTGCCAGGGCACCCTGGTTGAGATAGGATGGGGTTAACCCATTTAATAGCAGTTGGAATTGTGACTCATACTTGTTAGCTACTAGATGATGAGAGATTTCAGCTCAACTACATATTCTCTACAGTCTTTGATTTTGGACATTGCCCCTCTCTGATTCAATACAAAACTACCTATAATTTTTCTAGTCTCCATAGCGGCAAAGCAGAAGCTGAGCTCATGGGGCCCTTAAAAAAGATAAAATAATTTAATGGAAACTAGCACATGAAAGATAGATTGTGATTATCTGCTACATGTTTCAGACCACATGGGTCCTTTGTCAAACAACATCCAATAGAGTAAAACACAATTAATTATATACACTGTAGCAGGTGAAATTCAGGCATACACAAAACCCCGACATTGACTAGACTCTTGGTTCTCAACTGGTGGGTCATGACCCAAAAGTGGGTCGCGACTCCGTGTTCAGTGGGACACTGCATGCCTTCCAATTTTCAAGGTGAGAGGCTCCTCAGCCTCCCCCTAGCGCAGCACTGTCAGTTATTGCACTAAGCAGCCGAGTGTCAGCTTGAGGTGGGGTGGGGTGGGATGGGGCTATGACCATGAGGGAGCTCCATCCATACGTGCATTGCTTACAGCTTGCTCATGTGTCCTGTAGAGGTGCCTGGACCGGAGCGACATCACATTCTGGCATGTAAGAGAGCTGAACAAGTAATGCACATATGGCTGGAGCTCGGCCACAGCGCAGTAGCCCACACTGGACCCCAGGCTGAGGATCCACTCCAGTTCTTGTAAGGTAGGGAGACTAGGTGGACCTTAACATTTTTATTTAAAAATATGAAAACAAATTTGTGTGTGTGTGAGAGAATGTCTGTGAGTGTGAGATTGTGTCTGTGCATGTATGTCAATGTTTTTGAGGGCCTGTTCACACTAGTACAGTGCGAAACTACAAACTGTACCACGCAATCGCGTTTACCATGCATTCTTGTGTGGGAGGTGTGTTGACTTTTGTTGCCATTCATTTGAATGGCACCCCAAATGCACCTCCCACCCACAGTTCGTGCACCCTCACTGGAACGCGCGGTAGCCTAATGCTGTGCGTTCCATTGTAGTGCAACTTGAGTCGCGACTTGATGAACAAGGACAAATGTGGGTCCTGAGATTACACAGGTTGCGAACCATTGGACTAGACACTTCAGACTGTCACTTGGAACACTGGTAATCAAAAAAACATGAATGAGAAGAATCATCCAGCGCATATTTCATAACAAGCTCAGAGCTATCAGCGTAATCATATCACCTACCTATCACAAGGAAGAAAACAAAAAGAAAATAATGATAAATAACCAACATCTACATACTCCTCACATTTCAAACTGAGACCCTTCAGGTGCAGTATCCAAAGTTAGAATCCAAAAGGCCTTATATTCCTATAGTATATCTTTCAGTCCCCGCACTCCTCCCACCGCCTCCTCACACTAGCGATCCTGTCTCTGGCGGAAACTCGCCAATGACCCTCACTTGCTGATATTCTATAGCATCATGATCACCAGCAGTGGGGCGGGGGGCGGGGGTTGGGGCATGTATGATTGTTTCCTTTAGGCCAGGTTCACACCTGGGTGATCCGTGGCAGCTCGGTCACAGAATCGCACACCACGGCTGACCGCACTGGTGGTGCCATTCTTTTGGCACCCCTGTCGCGCCAGGCAGATTGCGCAGTTTGCTGCCGCAATTCCGCCCGTGCAAACACAGACGTTCGCAGCATTAAAAAAAAAACAAGCGGTGCATGTTACATTAAAAAGGTACCTTTTTACAGTGTTTGCCATGCGGATATAACCCCATTAAAATTAATGGGGCCGCACGGCAACCACTGTGTGCAACCGCACACGGTCACCCAAGTCTGCAGCAGCCCTTAATTTTGAAGGCATCAGCAGACAATGGAGGCAAGTCAACTGTGCACATGGAAACAATTAATTGACTAGGTTGGACATGAAATGAACAATCACTATTATTTTCCCAACATAAGACTAGCATTACACATTACCACACCATGAAAAAATACTATACAGCAGCTTTCCCCAATCTTTTTAACACAGAGGAACCCTTGAAATAACATTCAGGTCACATGGGAAACCGCTAGACATGCAAGATGGCAAAAAATGTGTTTCGCTTCAGATTTTTAATTCTTTCAAGTGTTAGGTTTTAGGCCCGAACGCCGCTTCGTTTCGTTACTCAGATCTTTCGGAATTTAATTTTAGGTTTGGAAGGAGTTTTCTGATTGGCCAGAAAACAGTCACGTGTCCGATTTAGTTTCATTTTGAACGAAATTTGGATGATCCGAAATTTTGTTAAAAGAACATTCGGAATCGTTTGCATTGCCCCTCATTGGAATTTGAACATTCGGATGCATCTGAATGCCCGAATTCATGAAATTTCGTCTGAATTTGCATTCAGAACAAAACAAAATTTACATATCTAGAATCCACAGTACAGTAAATTGTAAAACGAATTTCGGAACGAACCGAATCGCACATGTCTATTGTATATATAAGAATACATAAGATAAGGTTTGTGGTGTATGTAGTGTATTTGACACCCAGGGCTGCTTTATACAACATTTTTAAGTAATAACAATGACACAAAACAAACAAAAATATATTATTAAAGGAGAACTATGGGGTTAGGGCTTTTCCCCATAGTTCTCCTAAGGGTAACGGGAGGACACAAACTAGCGTCCTCCCGTCACCCAAAGCTCAGTATACCGCGAGCTACAGCTGTCTGGATCCACCCAGCTGTGTAAGTGACAGCTGGCTCTGCCTAACTAGGGGCAGAGCCAGCTGTACCCGCCCCCTCTAGGGTTGCCACCTGTCCAGGATTCACCCGAACAGTTTTGAATGCTGCGTCCAGGTTTCATGGCAGCAGAAACCCGGACACAAGATGTCAGGCAGACAGAGGCAACCAAAATGAAGATAGGGGCTACTGGCCCCCTACTGAAAATAGTATCAACTGTGATATTTACATATGAATGGGCGGCAATTTTTATATATGAATAAGCCACCACTCATTCTCCCAAAAAAAATGTCCATGCGTCGATTGAGTGTTTGGGTTTCGCTTGAAGAAAAGGTGGCAACCCTAGCCCCCTCCCCCATCCGTTCCGCCAGTCAGCGCTGGAGGATAGGACAGGGGAGGGGGGAATCCAGTCACTGGATCCAGCGCTGGTATGTGTTCACTCACTTCCCGATCTACTGAGCCGACCTGTGACAGTTTCATTGTCACTGGTCGGTTCAGATTATGAGGCTGAGTGAAAAGCACTCACCTCATAATTCTCCTTTAATAGCCGAAAAAGAAACTAAGGCAGTGAAAATTGTAGTGCTCCCAGCCTCCCACACATTGGTGCAGAAAAGTGACCCATTAATGGTCAGTGGGAAATGTTCTTCTTACACTGGTGGTCAGTGAAGGGCTCTAGTACACTGGTGATCAGTGAAGCATTCTAGTACACTGGTGGTCAGTGAAGGGCTCTAGTACACTGGTGGTCAGTGAAGCATTCTAGTACAGTGGTGGTCAGTGAAGGGCTCTAGTACACTGGTGGTCAGTGATGGGCTCTAGTACACTGGTGATCAGTGATGGGCTCTAGTACACTTGTAGTCAGTGAAGGGTTCTAGTACACTGGTGGTCAGTGAAGCATTCTAGTACACTGGTGGTCAGTGAAGGGCTCTAGTACACTGGTGGTCAGTGAAGCATTCTAGTACAGTGGTGGTCAGTGAAGGGCTCTAGTACACTGGTGGTCAGTGATGGGCTCTAGTACACTGGTGATCAGTGATGGGCTCTAGTATCTAGTACACTGGTGATTACTGAAGGGTTCTAGTACACTGGTGGTCAGTGAAGGGCTCTAGTACACTGGTGGTCAGTGAAAAATTCTAGTACGCTGGTGATCATTGAAGGTTTCTAGTACACTGGTGGTCAGTGAAGCGTTCTAGTACACTGGTGGTCAGTGAAGTGCTCTAGTACACTGGTGATCAGTGAAGGGGTCTAGTACACTAATGGTCAGTGAAGGGTTCTAGTACACTGGTGATCAGTCAAGGGGTCTACTACACTGGTGGTAAGTAAAGGGCTCTAGTACACTGGTAATCATTAAAGGGCTCAAGTACATTGGTGGTCAGTGAAGGGTTCTAATACACTGGTGGTGAGTGGAGGGTTCTAGTACACTGGTGGTTAGTTAAGGGTTCTATTACACTGGTGATCAGTGAAGTGCTCTAGTACACTGGTGGTCAGTGAGGGGTTCTATTACACTGGTGGTCAGTGAAGGGTTCTATTACACTGGTGGTCAGTGAAGGGTTCTGGTACAATGGTGGTCAGTGAGGATTTCTAGCACATTGGTGGTCAGTGAAGGGTTCTAATACAATGGTGGTCAGTGAAGGGCTCTAGTACACTGATGGTCCGTGAAGGGTTCTAGTACACTGGTGGTCAGTGAAGGCGTCTAGTACACTGGTGGTCAGTGAAGGCGTCTAGTACACTGGTGGTCAGTGAAGGCGTCTAGTACACTGGTGATCAGTGATGGGCTCTAGTACACTGGTGGTCAGTAGAGGGTTCTTGTACACTGGTGGTCAATGAAGGGTTCTAGTACACTGGTGGTCAATGAAGGGTTCTAGTACAGTGGTGGTCAGTGAAGGGCTCTAGTACACTAGTGGTCAGTGAACGGTTCATGTACAATGGTGGTCAGTGAAGGCGTCTAGTACAATGGTGGTCAGTGAAGGCGTCTAGTACAATGGTGGTCAGTGAAGGCGTCTAGTACACTGGTGGTCAGTGAAGGCGTCTAGTACACTGGTGATCAGTGAAGGGCTCTAGTACACTGGTGGTCAGTAAAGGGTTCTAGTACACTGCTGGTCAATGAAGGGTTCTAGTACAGTGGTGGTCAGTGAAGGGCTCTAGTACACTAGTGGTCAGTGAACGGTTCATGTACAATGGTGGTCAGTGAAGGCGTCTAGTACACTGGTGATCAGTGAAGGGCTCTAGTACACTGGTGGTCAGTAAAGGGTTCTAGTACACTGGTGGTCAGTGAAGGGTTCTAGTACACTAGTGGTCAGTGAAGGGTTCTAGTACACTAGTGGTCAGTGAAGGGTTCTAGTACACTAGTGGTCAGTGAAGGGTTCTAGTACACTAGTGGTCAGTGAAGGGTTCTAGTACACTAGTGGTCAGTGAAGGGTTCTAGTACACTAGTGGTCAGTGAAGGGTTCTAGTACACTAGTGGTCAGTGAAGGGTTCTAGTACACTAGTGGTCAGTGAAGGGTTCTAGTACACTAGTGGTCAGTGAAGGGTTCTAGTACACTAGTGGTCAGTGAAGGGTTCTAGTACACTAGTGGTCAGTGAAGGGTTCTAGTACACTAGTGGTCAGTGAAGGGTTCTAGTACACTAGTGGTCAGTGAAGGGTTCTAGTACACTAGTGGTCAGTGAAGGGTTCTAGTACACTAGTGGTCAGTGAAGGGTTCTAGTACACTAGTGGTCAGTGAAGGGTTCTAGTACACTAGTGGTCAGTGAAGGGTTCTAGTACACTAGTGGTCAGTGAAGGGTTCTAGTACACTAGTGGTCAGTGAAGGGTTCTAGTACACTAGTGGTCAGTGAAGGGTTCTAGTACACTAGTGGTCAGTGAAGGGTTCTAGTACACTAGTGGTCAGTGAAGGGTTCTAGTACACTAGTGGTCAGTGAAGGGTTCTAGTACACTAGTGGTCAGTGAAGGGTTCTAGTACACTAGTGGTCAGTGAAGGGTTCTAGTACACTAGTGGTCAGTGAAGGGTTCTAGTACACTAGTGGTCAGTGAAGGGTTCTAGTACACTAGTGGTCAGTGAAGGGTTCTAGTACACTAGTGGTCAGTGAAGGGTTCTAGTACACTAGTGGTCAGTGAAGGGTTCTAGTACACTAGTGGTCAGTGAAGGGTTCTAGTACACTAGTGGTCAGTGAAGGGTTCTAGTACACTAGTGGTCAGTGAAGGGTTCTAGTACACTAGTGGTCAGTGAAGGGTTCTAGTACACTAGTGGTCAGTGAAGGGTTCTAGTACACTAGTGGTCAGTGAAGGGTTCTAGTACACTGGTGGTCAGTGAAGGGTTCTAGTACACTAGTGGTTAGTGAAGGGTTCTAGTACACTGGTGGTCAGTGAAGGGTTCTAGTACACTAGTGGTCAGTGAAGGCGTCTAGTACACTGGTGGTCAATGAAGGGTTCTAGTACACTAGTGGTCAGTGAAGGCGTCTAGTACACTGGTGGTCAATGAAGGGTTCTAGTACACTAGTGGTCAGTGAAGGCGTCTAGTACACTGGTGGTCAATGAAGGGTTCTAGTACACTAGTGGTCAGTGAAGGCGTCTAGTACACTGGTGGTCAATGAAGGGTTCTAGTACACTAGTGGTCAGTGAAGGCGTCTAGTACACTGGTGGTCAATGAAGGGTTCTAGTACACTAGTGGTCAGTGAAGGCGTCTAGTACACTGGTGGTCAATGAAGGGTTCTAGTACACTAGTGGTCAGTGAAGGCGTCTAGTACACTGGTGGTCAATGAAGGGTTCTAGTACACTAGTGGTCAGTGAAGGCGTCTAGTACACTGGTGGTCAATGAAGGGTTCTAGTACACTAGTGGTCAGTGAAGGCGTCTAGTACACTGGTGGTCAATGAAGGGTTCTAGTACACTAGTGGTCAGTGAAGGCGTCTAGTACACTGGTGGTCAATGAAGGGTTCTAGTACACTAGTGGTCAGTGAAGGCGTCTAGTACACTGGTGGTCAATGAAGGGTTCTAGTACACTAGTGGTCAGTGAAGGCGTCTAGTACACTGGTGGTCAATGAAGGGTTCTAGTACACTAGTGGTCAGTGAAGGCGTCTAGTACACTGGTGGTCAATGAAGGGTTCTAGTACACTAGTGGTCAGTGAAGGCGTCTAGTACACTGGTGGTCAATGAAGGGTTCTAGTACACTAGTGGTCAGTGAAGGCGTCTAGTACACTGGTGGTCAATGAAGGGTTCTAGTACACTAGTGGTCAGTGAAGGCGTCTAGTACACTGGTGGTCAATGAAGGGTTCTAGTACACTAGTGGTCAGTGAAGGCGTCTAGTACACTGGTGGTCAATGAAGGGTTCTAGTACACTAGTGGTCAGTGAAGGCGTCTAGTACACTGGTGGTCAATGAAGGGTTCTAGTACACTAGTGGTCAGTGAAGGCGTCTAGTACACTGGTGGTCAATGAAGGGTTCTAGTACACTAGTGGTCAGTGAAGGCGTCTAGTACACTGGTGGTCAATGAAGGGTTCTAGTACACTAGTGGTCAGTGAAGGCGTCTAGTACACTGGTGGTCAATGAAGGGTTCTAGTACACTAGTGGTCAGTGAAGGCGTCTAGTACACTGGTGGTCAATGAAGGGTTCTAGTACACTAGTGGTCAGTGAAGGCGTCTAGTACACTGGTGGTCAATGAAGGGTTCTAGTACACTAGTGGTCAGTGAAGGCGTCTAGTACACTGGTGGTCAATGAAGGGTTCTAGTACACTAGTGGTCAGTGAAGGCGTCTAGTACACTGGTGGTCAATGAAGGGTTCTAGTACACTAGTGGTCAGTGAAGGCGTCTAGTACACTGGTGATCAGTGAAGGGTTCTAGTACACTAGTGGTCAGAACCCTTGGAAACCTCTGGAAGAACCGTAGTGTTTCACGTTTAAAGAAGAACTCTGAGGGAAAACATCCTTATCCCTTGTCAAGTGATTGTTTGTGTCTAGGTTAAAAAATATATATAATCACCCAAACCGGCTGTGGCGCTGCTCCCTCCAGCTTTTTTCCTCCTCCACTGCAGCGATAGACCCTTGGCGTTGTCATGTCCTGTACACTGTGATGACTTGATTCTTGGACCACTGCAGCAGAGTGGGAGCGAGGCAGAAGGGACTGGTCTAAGAGCAAGCCGGCTCAGAGCACAGGGTTAGTATATTATTATTTTTATCCTAGACACAAACCATCAAGGGTTAAGAATTTCTTCCCCAGAGTTCTGCATCAAGGCTGCTCTAGAGGAATATGATGTTAATACATTTATAAATAATGCTGCATGTTCAACTGATATCCTCATTTATGACCAATCACACATTTTGGAAACAGTGATTTGTCTTCATTATGATTGTACCTCGTCCCCTGCATACAATGCAATGTACTAGTAACATACACAGAACCCTATGCATTGCCGAGTGGTATAGTAGGAGCACAATAAGACCAATCAACTAGATCCTTCTGTGTCATGTCTACCTACACAATGCAACCCATGACTTGCTCGGTGGCCTATAATGGACATATTTGCAATACAGTATATATGTCACTTACTTGCAGATACACGGGTAAAAGCAGCAGCAAGAAGAAACAGAAGACCCCGGGCCATCAGATCCATTCCAGGGGCCATGTGAGCCCTACACAATGGGAGAATCGGAGATCTAAAGACGCTTTATCATATGACAGCATCACCTTTTCTTCCTGGAGCATGTGTAACATGGAGCAAGGCATCACACTGCCATCTAGAGGCTGACATGTGGAACTGCAAGAAGTCTTCACACTGCTTAGGGATGATCAGAGAAGCTCAGTAGGGCTTTTGCATCCACACCAAGGCAAAATCGGGAAGCTAGACATTCTGTCACCGGTGGTGGCAAAGGCTCAGAGATGCTCCCACCAAGGGAGAAGTTCTCCATTCACACACCCAGTGGCACCCCTCCTAAAGCAACACCCGGGGCACGTTGCCCCCCTAGCTTCGGCCCTGCCCAATCGACAGCGTTTTCCTTGTTTCTACACATACATTTATCCCCTATTCAAACCTAGGTGTTTTGTCATGCGACAAAACTCTCCACACAAGAAATCCCATTCATTTTGATGTCCCCTATTCACACCTGTTTTGTCGCAAGCTGTAAAATGCCTGACACTGGAAAAAGTAATGAGCCTCTTGCGGGCAGTTTGCAGCGGGTTTTCCCCATAGATTTCAATAGAAATGCCTAGAAACACTCATCACAAGCGGTTTGCATATTTCTGTGCATGTGCCCACTGACTGCAATGTCTTTCAATCTACTAGATAAAATTGCACACAAAAATGCAGACATCTAGGTGTCTAGACGTCAGGCAGGGAGGTGAGGTTGAAGATGCCGGCGGGCGCGGTGGCGGCAGGGGGTGGAAGCCCGGAATTTTTGTTAATAGCTTTTAGCCACTGATGACAGCTATTAATTAAAGGGGCCCGTCCGGTGAACAGTTCTGGTATGAGTTCATGGTCGCTAAAACGACCATGAGCTTATAGCAGAACGGTAAATGCCACTGACGTAAGGCATACTGACCTGGCGGTTTGGGAACTGTTTTGTTCCGCCGTATGCCTTACATCGGTGGCAGGGAAAGGGTTAATTTGTCGAAAAGAAGATCATGTACTTTTTTAAGCAACTGGCGTTTTGCTATAAGTGACCAAATGCTCAGATGTGAACATGACCATAGAAATTAATGGGATTTTGTTTTGGGTGTTTTTTGGAGCGTTGTTTAAGGTAGAAGAAACACTACAAAATGCTAGGTGTGAACAGAGGTTAAACTCTTTATAACAATAAATATAATAATAACAATGTCAGCAGCTGACCTTAAAGAGACACTAAACTTTACCCTAAGGAGAACTATGGGGAAAAGCCCTGACCCCATAGTTCTCCTTTAAATCTTAAAAATGCATTCAAGTACCTTAAAGGCTAAGTTCACCTTTTGCAACAATTAAAGAAATGCACTGCCTGTATGAGAATGTGAAGTAGCCTGAGTTCTGCAGCCCTGATGGAGTGATCACCTTTGCAAAGATTTCCAGGCTTGAATGCAAAAATGAAAGAAATGCATTTGTCTTTATATATATATTATTAAATATGCATTTCTTAGATTTTTGCAAAAGGTGAACATAGCCTTTAACTATTAACAAAAATGTATCTTATTTGTGTATCACTCAGCTGTAGATCCTCTCTGATCCATCTCCGAATTTGTGCTGACACTGTCCTTCCTTCTGGAGGGTGGCTACTTTTGTTCCCCATGGTCCCTGTGTGGGTTGTAAAGTAGCCATCACTCCAAGCTCACTCCCGTGATGGACTACAATCTAACATTTAGGGCCAGTTCACATCATATCCAGCGCATTCCAGCATTGTTTTGCAATCGCACTGCACCAGACCGCGGGCATTGCTGTACCACCCGTTCTGGTGCGGCAATCGCACTGCGGGCAGGTGGCGTGGGTGGGAATGAATGGCACCACCACGCCCCCTACCTCCCCAGAACACAGAAGACTTGGTTTATGTGATCCAATGTGTTCCAGGCACGAACCATGCCCAAACGCACTGGATATGGTGTGAATCGGCGCTTAGTTAAAGGATAATTATACCCTTGCGTCTTTTTGCATATATCTACTGCTAGCATGCAGTAGATATATGCAAAAATATAAAAAATAAAGTTAAAAAAGTACCTAACTGTGTCTCCACCACGTGCTCCTGTCGGGAGCTCTGAAGATTCTCGGGCGACCATAAAGGATCATGGGGGGGCAGTAGAGATCTTCGGCCAAAAGAAGAGGAGATACACAGGGTAGGTCAATGCAGGCAGCGTGCACCCGCACAGACTCTATCGGACAGAAATAGACAGGGGTCAGGGCTGGCTCAGAGACCGGCACCAACGCTGGAGGGACTCATGAAAGCTACTGGAAAGAAGAAGATGATCGGATCAAGAGGCATCATTTAAGGTAAGTCCTTACACCAGCATTGGGGGGGGGGGGTGGCTTTAATGTCACTTTAACTAGTTTGTATTGAGATTGTAGTCCATCATGGGAGTGAGCTTGGAGTGGTGGCAAGAAAAAAATTCCTTTTTTTCACATGAACGGTAACTCCAAATCTCAACAGCTACAGCCCCTGGCAGAATCTTCAGCATCTGAGACCCTCCAGGTGTGTCTGAGACCCTACAGGACACCAAAGTAGAGATATTGCAGTCTTCAGAAAGAACCACCATGCACCTTGGGGAGCTGGGCATCTAACACACACCCCCAATGTATGAAGATTCTTCAAAGCCCAATCCATTATTCTCTCATTTAATTCAAATTCTTGCAATAAAATTCAGTATTAAATGTCATCAATTAGTTTGATCGTTATTTAGCTTGAATGTCTAGGTGTCATTAGGTGTCATTAGGTGACTGGCAGTTTTAATGAAACTATAATGAGAAAATAAATACTTTAGCTTCCTTTTTCGAACTCTGCTTTTGAAAACCCAAGTTTCTTGTCTGTTATGCTGATCCATAGGCTTCAATACTTTTAGAGTCGCAATCCTGGAATAGGTATGCAAATCAATAAGCCCTGACTTCCTCTCTGGCTTTACCGCCTGCATGCTTGTTGCAATAACTTAAGATTTAAAGAAAGGAAACAGCTGGGCAATGAGCACTTTTTAGAATAGCACTCGCAGCTTCTGTATTTCTCCAAGTACAAGTTCTTTTTATTAAGGATATTGGTTGTCATGCTGATACAATTGATTTATGCTTTCTGAGTCACTAATCCAAAACAAGTATGTTAGGGGGGTCCCTGTAAGTTACAAATTATGCTCATGCAGAATGCCTTAGATATGGCAGGCTGAAAAATTGCCCACTCGGAGAAAAGAACAGCCATAGCTAAGGTCTCTTGCAAGTCATAGATGAAAGATATATTACAGTATAAGAAAGTGACACAGGGAATGTAGCTGGGATGATTCAGTATCACAAAAACCTCTGGTCATCACAAAGAAAATATAGGTCAGAGCAAAAAAAAATCGCATAAACTTTCTCAGATGAATATACACAATTTCCCTGTGCCCTAAAGTGAATCTTTGGTCAGCCTATGGAATTAAACTTTTTACATATTATTAACAGGTAGTAAATGAGCTTTAAAACAAGCCCTTAATGGCCTCTATAGCTGCAGACACTATAGAGAAATGCATCCTCAAATTTCACTGCCAAGGCACTGAAGTAGTTGTCTAAGGCAGTTTAATTCACCTCGTCCCTTCTGCCTTACAGCTTTCCAACCTATTAATCCATACCTGCAAACTTTCAGTGATGACAAGGAGAAACTCCTTTTAGCGCAAAATGTGTAGGCAAAGGCCAATCGTGCATTTGCAGAGACCATGAAGAATTAATACACAAAAAATGATCGGACAGGTGCTTTTTTGCACTACTACTTTTCTTGTACATCAGCTTCTCAAAATAATAAATGCAATAACGTAGAGGTTGGATGAAAGGTTTACTGTAGGCTAACACTTTCAGTAGTTACACAGTAAATTATTTTATAGAGGTCTATCAGACCACAAATAAGGAAAGAGGAATTTGATTCCAAAAGAGCAATTAAAGGTAAAGAGCACCTTTTGTCTCCAACACTTAATGTGACATTGACTTACAGTGAGTCTCTTCTCTTGTCTCCGCCTATGATCTCCCCACCCCATCATTCTGAACGGCTGCTTGAGAAGCTACAGATCTACAACCAGGAGCGAGTGGCGGAGACACAGATAAGTGTTTACGTGTTTAGTAACTTCTTTATTTGTTTTTAATGTTTTTCATATATCTACCGCTTACTAGCAGTAGATGCAGTATATGTAAAAAAAAATTGACTTTAATACCACTTTAAAGTGTCACTAAACTTTATGAGTTAAACCTTAAAAATGCATTAATTCTTGCTCCAGTGATGGACTATAATCTCACATTTAGACTACTAATTTGTAATGATATTGTAGTTCCTTATGGGAGTGAGCATGGAGTGGTGAGTACTTTACAATACACACAGTGACCATGGGGAACAGAAGGAGCCACCCTCCAGAAGGAAGGACAGTGTCAGCATGAATTCAGAGATGATTTGAGGATCTACAGCCGATCTACAGCTGATAAACAAATAAGATACATTTTTTTTAATAGTTAAGGTACTTGAATGTATTTTTAAGATTTAAAGTGACATTAAAGGATAACTTGCCCCATTGCCCCATTGTGCAGGCACTGTGCTGGGAGTACTCAGTGCGCACTATTTTTATTCTCTACTTTTCATTTTAAACACAAATGTATTTTAAGTTAAATCATATATAATAGTATATGCAATATGGATACATCATATGTACACAGTATAACTGAATAGGTAATCATAATGTGAGTTACTTGTATCTTTCTGACCAATTTATTGTCACAGATTGGAACTCACGGGTACGAACTGGAGTCCGTTATGTGGACCCTTTCCACTACACTGGCAGGGACCCTCAGAGAAAAGGGTCCAAGCAGTGTAGGCTGACGACTCCTGTAGCTGGAGTACAAGCAGAGGAACTGAATGAGGCAGTGTAAGTCAGCTAAAGCTGGAAGTTCAAATACAAGGCAGGGTGCTGCAATGCGGAGTAGGTGGCATGGTATGCTGAGTAGGTGGCAGTGGTTCCCCAGGATGTGGAATCTAAGAGCCAGCCGGTATTTGCCAGAGCTCCTGATGGTGGAGATGGGCT